TTCGACTTTAATTTCCTTTCTATGTGTTTTGTATATATCTTTATATGTACATTTCTCCTCACTACAATCTATCCTCCACTCAGATTTCAAATTGATCTTCCTAAAGTACAGGCCTGACCACATCACCTCCCTATTTAATGAACTCCAGTGGCTCCCTATTTTCTCTAGGATCAAATTAAAATCTGGCATTCAAAAATTGGCATTTAAGCCCTTTATAATTTGGCCCCCTTTTCAGGATTCTTATACCTTATCCCTACGAACTCTGTGATCCAATAACATTGGCATCCTTCCTGTTCTTACACAAGATATTTCATTTCCTGACATGACAACTTCACTGTTTTCCATGCCTGGAATGCTCCCCCTCTTCTTTTCCTTCAAGTTCCAGCTAAAATATCACCTTCTAAAGGAGCCTTTCTTAAGAGCCCCTTAATACTACAGCTTCCCCATCCATGAATTAACTCCAATTTATCATGCATAAGCAATGCCTGTAAACAGTTGTCTGCATGTTGTTTCCCCATTACATTGTGTGCCCCCTGGGAGAGAGAGACTGTCTTTTGACTTTCTTTTTATTCCCAGTGCTTAGCACATGGGCACATTACAGATGCTTAATAACTGCTTAATGATTGACTGATTGATTTGAAGGCAGGTGTTGTTTCACTTCTGTCTTTGTATTCTCAGTACTTAGTACAGTGCCTGACATATATAACAAGTGCTTAATCAATTACTAATTGCTTACTTTCTTGATGAACTTTTCCTATATTTAGAACATCACAAACAACTTCATCACAACCTAAAATATTGTCTAAATCAGGGTTTATTAACCTTTTTTATGTGTCATGGACCTCTTTGGTAGTCTGGTAAAGCCTAATATCACTGTGGTTTGTTGCCCGCATTCATAATTGAAGGAAATGTTAAATTTCCATTAGAGGTTAGTGAAAATGGAGATATAATTGTTTTCTTATCCAATTTCATGGACCTCTTGAAATCTATATTGGGTATCCATGGATGCTGGGTTAAAAAAATCTGGTACAAATGCTGAAGGAATGATGAGAATGATCAGAGGCTAGTACCCTACAATACCCAATTACTATAGAGGGCACTACTATCATTTTAGTCACCCAAATTTGTAATGTCAATGTCATCCCCTGACTTTCACTCTCACTTGTACCACATATACAGTCATAGCTTTAGATCTAAGCTTGAAGTAACCTTAGAGGCTGTCAAGCCTAATGACCCCTTTTACAGATGAGGAAACTGAGGCTTGAAGAGATCAAATGACTTGCTCAAGACCACACAACTGGTAAATGTCAGAGGCAGGACATAAAATCAGGTCTTCCTGATTCCAAGTCTAATGCTTAGAACCAAACCTTACTGATTCTATCTATCTCCACATCAATCTCATATACTCTTATTTCATTCTCTATACGCACATCCTAGTTTAGGTATTAATCATCTTTTCCCCTGGACTACTGAAATAATGTCCTATTTGGTCTCCCTGCCTCAAGTCTCTCCCCTTCCAACTTTGTTGTTGTTTTGTTGTTTCAGTTGTGTCTGACTCTTTGTGACCCTGTTGAGGGTTTTCTTGGAAAAGATAACTGCAGTGGTTTGCCATTCCCTACTCCAGTTCATTTTCTCACAGATGAAGAAACTGAAGCAAACAGAGTTAAGTGATTTGCCCAGCAGCACCCAGCTAGTAAGTGTCTGAGTCTGACTCCAGGCCTGGTGCTGTATCCACTCTGCCACCTAGCTGCAATGTCCCCCACAACCCCAAAACATTTTCCAGGTAGCTGCTCTAAATAGCTATGGTGATTTTCCTAAAGAACCAGGTCTGATCATTCAATAAATTCATCCCTTTGTGGCCAATCTTCCAGTGGTGAGCTTGCCAGTCTGATCCCTGCATAATAAGACACACAACCTATTTTTGAGGCACTATTCAAACCTTTCCAGCTGAAAAGAATTTACCAGAACACATACTTTATTAACACTGCTTTTGAGAAGCCAAGGTCATGCCAAGCCATGATGAAGAATCTAAGTCAGGGTTCAGTGGATGATAATGATGGTCAAGTTAACAATTATATTATTAATGACCATATTGTCAAGAAAAGGTAACTCTTCTCTGCTGCAAGTCTTTGAATACCTGTAGCCTGCTCAACCTACAGCAATGATGGGCTGGTTTCAGTCATTCCCAGCACCAGTGGAAAAAGAGAAGCTATTTTTTAAAACAGACTTTAGGCTGCTTGAATTGTTTTTAGTCTTCTCAAGCTCATCATCCTAAAATCAAAATCTCTAGTTTAGCATACTTTTCAAAAGTTTAATTAAATCCTCTTATAAATATCTTTAATGGAAACATTTACTCACTGCATTAACAAAAGCTGTGGGATTTCAAAGATAAAACACAACTCAAGTTTGCACAATACAAAGATTCCTGTGGAAATCCTTAATAAGAATCAGATGTGCAGAAAAAGAGCCAAGTTTATAAAAACCACCCGGATCTAGATGTTTCAAGTCCACCTTTCAAAGTCTCCTTTTGAATTCAGAGAAAGAATGACTCTCAGTCACACAATATCCCATATTAATTCATGTTTACTTGCCCATTTCAATTACAGCAATATCTAACAGGTTTCACACGGCATTTCCATCTTGTTATCATAATCCTCCGATAAGAAACAAATTAATAAAGCAAGCTGTAAGTAGACCATTCCAATTATTTAGTTTATTAATGAAGCATTGGTACAATACACAAATAAAATATATTCAACACCCAGAAAAGGGCTACGGTCAAGCTCCAAAACTAATTCTGCAAAAGAGGTCTATAAGCATCATCTAGGAATAAAAGTGAACACATTTACAAACTTCTTTTACAGGAATATATCAGAACAGATTTGCAAACTTGGAAATCTGACAGCTTGTGGTTTAGAGTCACAGCTTCATGACTCAGTCTTCTTTCAACATGAACATTTGAAAAAAACACATCTAGCCTATGTGTATAAAATCCTTTCATCAATGGTACATGTGGCTATCATTTAAAATGAGAAAGCAATTAGGCACAATACCAGATGTACATAATGAAATTGGTCTCATCTACATAAGAAATGTGCTATAGTTATATTTATGTCAATTAAATGGCATCAACTAAATTCAATATTTATGTAAGCTATTAGAAATACCCTAATCTGGTTTTTATTCAATAGATACTGTTATTAGAACAAAACCTTATATGTGTTTATCATAGTCTATAAAAAATAGTTCAGTGGAAAAATGTAAAAAATCAAGGCTACTTGAATTTCACTGAACCAAGAAGTCCACTATGCAGTGGTTTTTATATAATTGGACAATTTTCACTTATTTTAACTGTCAAAATTGCCATTTTCATAATATTTTGTTTTCTATAATAAATGCACATAGATTTGAATTTCTAGTACTAAACTTAAAATAATTTGTTAAAATTTACACCAAATTAATAATAAATTAAAATAGGGTAGATTAACAATTATAGCACCCATTTGGAAACCCTTAAGCAAATACTTAGTGATGATATGTGTTACAACTAAAAATATATATTTCTCTCATTAAACATAAATATATTTGTGCAAGCTGCAAATATAAGTTATTTTCAAATTTGTTTGATTAGATCTTGCTTTGTTATCAGCAGCCTGGACATAATTAAGTCACAGATTTATAGGACCATAGGTTTTAAAGCTGGAAGGGGCCTTAGAGATTCACCCTTATCATTTCTGCCCTACCCCCACCCCCAAAAAAAACTACCCCTCTTCTGAATTTCCCTATTTTTAATGAGATAATTCCAGTTTTTTTTCCCTCTTCTCTTTTCTCCCTTTTTGTTTTGTTATGAAGGATGACTCTCTGGAAGGGAAAGGGATATTGGGGAAAATGACAGCGATGTAAAAAAAATCAATATCAATCAATCAATATCAAAATATCAATAAAACTTATTTAAAACAAAAGAATCCTTTTGTCTTCAACTGCTAATACTCTACCTCCCTAAACTACTTCATAATTATGTTAAATTTGTTCTATGTAAACTTATATATGTATAGGTCACTCAATCAATAAACATTTTTTAAAGACTTACTATGTGCCTGGCACTGTGCTACATACTGGGGATACAAAGAAAAGCAAAAGACAATCCCTGCTCTCAAGGAGCTCATAGTCTAATGAAGGAGAGAACACTGAACCAACTATGCGCAACAAGCTATACACAGGATAAATTGGAAATAATCAACAGAGGGAAGGCATAAAAATTAAGGAAAATCAGGAAAGGTTTCCTGGAGAAGGTGGAATTTTAGTTGGGATTTGAAGGAAGTCAGGGAGTTCAGGAAGTAGACATGAGGAGGGAGAGAATTCCAAGCATGGGGAACAGCTAGAGCAAATGCCTGGAATCAGGCGATGGAGTGCCTTGACTGAGGAATAACAAGGAGACCGGTGTCACTAGATCACAGAACGTGTAAAGGTAAGGTATGAGAAAACTGGAAAAGAAGAAGCGGGCCAGGTTATGAAGGGTTTTGAACACCCGAGAACTTTATATTTGATCTTGATATTGGCAATGGGAGTGTTTCTCAACAGAATATAAGACCCTTGAAAGGTGTTTGATTTTTGCATTTATAGTTTTAGAGCTTAGCAGAGTGCCTATCACATAGCAGCTTAATAGATTCTTGTTGACTTACTGATTTTTATTTGTTTGGATTGATTCCCTCACTACACTGATGTAGGAAACTCCTGAAAAGGATATTCCTTCTACCAGTTTAGATTGACATCTGTCCTATACTTTACAGTCTTACAGATTTTCCTGGGACATGGGATTTGCCAGGGTCACACAGCCTAATCATTTTAGATAGGGAAAAAAAAGGTCTGAGAAGTTAATCTGTCCCAAGTCCAACAGCCAGCCTGCCAATGGGAAAGCACACAGCATCTGGATACTAAAACAACTCTGATGTAGCCTTCTCTGATTAATCATAAGAATCAGGAGTAAAGAAGCCCCCTACCTCTCACTGTTCTTTTTACCACTAGAAGAGCTGCTGGTGGATCCTGTGCGGTTACGATTCCTTTGGAATCTCCATAGCTTTCCCTTCGGCCACCTGGAGATACTCGTTCGCTAGAGCTGGTTCTTTTGATGGTGCTAAAAAGAATAAGGCAAGTTACAATAAAATCTACACAAAGGAGCATCTTCAACAGAGTAAATGGGTTACATTAATTTGATTTCTGAAAGCAAGAAAACATGAATAAAATACTATCAAATAATAATAATTGGCATTTATATAGCACTTTTAGGTTTACAGAATGTTTTTCACCTGAACATTTAAAACACGGAGGGACAGCACTGATCTGGAAGTCAGAAGACCCATCTCTGCCACTTACGATTAGCTAATGATATACTCCAAATATTAGAGCACACACATGAACTGAATTGCTATGAACATCTGGCATGTTTGGATACTAAAGTGACCCTTATGTTGTAATTCTCTAATTTTGTTTCTCTGATTAATCTCTGAAAAGAAGACCTCGAAATGGCTTAATACCTTTTATAGAAATTAAGAGTACAGATATCCTGTACTTTGCACTTGTAAACCACTAGAAGAGCTGCTGCTAGATCCTGTGTGATCACAGTTTCTTCTCTTTAGGCAAGCTGCTTCATCTGTCTGGGCACTGAACTATAAAAGAAGATGTTTAGTCTGAATGATCTCCAAGCTATCTTCCAGCTCTAAATTCTAGGATCCCATTCTAAAACTGAAACTTCAGGGATTACACAGTGCTTTCCAGAATTCCTGTGGAAAAGTTAGACATGGAACACCTTCGGTGTAATGATAGTAATGTTATTATTACAGTAAAAAGCAAATGGGTAAGTGAAATCCTCATCAACCTTTTTTTTTCAAATTAATTGATTTTTTTTTTTTTGGTGAGGCAATTGGGGTTAAGTGACTTACCCGGAGTCACAGAGCTAGTAAGGGTTATGTGTCTGAGGCCAGATTTGAACTCAGGTCCTCCTGACTCTAAGGCCAGTGCTCTATCCACTGCACCACCTAGTTGCCCCCCTCATCAACCTTTATTTAGTGGATACGATGTATATGAAATGCTATGGGAAATTTCGGAAGAAATGTACTGCCCTGAAATAACTTAACCCCTTTATGACTATCTACCTCAAAGGTTGAGAAAAATGCATTATAAACATTCATATTCTACATAAATGTAAATTATAATTTGCTGTGAATAGTAATAAGCCGTTTATACACTAAAGGCATATAAGATAAACATGAATAGAATGACTAAAATGCAAACATAACCATGTAAATGTTGCATATCAATATATAATATATTATTTACACAAAATACATCTGTTAAGTTGGTATAGTGGAAATATAGCGGTATAGTTGGACTTGGCGTAAGAAAACCCAGGTTTAAATTATAGCTCTAAAAACATGACTCATGACTCTCAAAGCCTCATTTCCTCCATGGTATAACAGACAGACAACTGAACACAGGGGAAAGAAGAATAAAATTCAGATCTAACCTCACATACTGCTATGACCCTGGGAAAGTCACATGACTTCTCCATAACTTCTCTGGGTCTCAGTTTCCTCAGTTTTAAAACAAGGAGGCTCAACTCAATGATCTCAACAAAGTTCTTTCAAACTCTACATATATGATGCTACCATATGTAAAATAAAGCAATTGGACTAAGTAATCTCTAAGGTACCTTCCAGCATTCACGATCTAGAGTTTTGAGATTTCTGCTAAGGATAGCACCAACAGTAATTGAGACTCCTAAATTGCTGGGTTTGAGTCTAGGAAGGTTGGGAAGACTTCACAAATAAGGATTATTCTATACACTGAGCATTTTGAGGGCCAGAGGGATATATATCTGTGAAGAGGAGGAAGAAGGGCATTCAAGGCAAGAGGAATTATCTGTGTAATAACTCAAAGAAAGAAGGAGGTAACTTATAAGGAAGGGATAAGGCTGGGTTGCAATACATTTATTTACACTGGGCAGCAAGCAGGTTTCAGAAGGGATAATTGTCCCATGCTCAGCGTAGTACATTTTAGTAGTACTAAAACCTGTATGACATGTAGGAAGGGTTCAATTGAACATACCTCTCAAAGCAACAACTGAACCAGCTTCCTTCTTGTTTAGGGTCATTATAAAAATAACAAAGAATACAGATTAAATTGATAGATGACCACTTAATATTTGGGAGTAATGACAATTAAAAACATGCCATCTCATCATATTAAATTAAATGTAAAAAATACTTATTAAATACTTACTATATGCAAAGCCCTGAGATAAGTATTTAGGATTCAGAGATAAAAGGTAACATAGTCTTTGCCTTCAAGGAATGAACAACAGAATGAAAGGATAGGATATGAACACAATGACTATGATACAAGTAGAAAGTCATACAGGTAAAGAAGAGGTCAAAGCAACATATTCTAGAAAATTTGAGTAGGGGAAGATCATTTTCACTTACAATGGATTTAGAGGAAGGAAAAGCTTTATGATGGCAATGACCCTGAGTTCATTCTTGAAGGGAGAGAACAATTTCAATAGGTAGAGATGGGTAAGGAATGTGAAAAGCGATCTTTGAATTGACATTTTAAATGTAGTTCAACTTACAATTTATTAAATACTACTTTATAGTTATTTGTGTATATGTTGTATTTCTCCTTTTAATTTGAGCATCTTATGGGCAAAAAAAGTTTGTATTTTTCATAGCACTTGGCAGAGAGCTACATACAGAAGAATCACAAAATGTCAGAGCTGTCAGCATAGGGCATGAATGAATGAATAAATGAATGAAAAAGCAATGAATCTGGATTCAAATGGTATAAACTGAAATTCTACATTTGCCACTGTCTATACCAGGGTGGGGAACCTGCAGCCTCGAGGCCACATGTGGCCCCCTAAGTCCTCAAGTGCAGCCCTCTGAATCAAAACTTCACAGAACAAATCCCCTTAATAAAATGATTTGTTCTATAAAACTTGGACTCTGTCAAAATACCAAGGACCTAGAAGGTAACATGTGGCCTTGAGGCCATAGGTCACATTGTGTGACCTTAGATCACTTAATTTCTCTGGTCCTAATTAATTCATATATAGAATGAATGAGCAAGATTATATGATTTCTAAATTCCCTTAGAATTCTAAGTCTATGATTCTATGTACTTATACATAATCTGTTTCTATTCTACTAACCTACTAACTTGTAGATGAAGAAGCTAAGACTCAGGCAGGCTAAGTCTTTAAGGAAGGCCACATGGCTAGTAAGTGGCAGAGTCAGGAACTGAACCTGGGCCTCCTGTCTCCCAGGGTCTAGTGTTCTTTCCACCATCACACATGTACCCAAAATATTTATTGAATGGATAACTAATATTGTTTACTTGTTACAGAAATTTATTTATTTTAGTGTTTGAATAGAAACAGACAAGTATAAACTTGTAATAATCAATAAATGGCATCTTAAGGTTTAATTGGCATCACCCTCACAACTTCATGAGGTAGATATCCCAACGATCGTTATCCTCATTTTAAGCATGAGGAAACTGAGGCTCAGAAAATTTAAGTGATTTGTCCATCCATGGTCCACAGCTAATATGTCAGAGCAGGGAATGGACTTCAAGTCTCTTGAGTACAAACCAAGCACTTCTTCCACCACACTACACTGTCTTTGTTGAGATCATAAGCTCTTTGAGATTAATGTCAGGATCTTATTCATTTTAAAACTCATACCTCCTACTACAACACTGAACACTCACATATGATGGTTTGCCAACAAATATTTAAAACAAATACTGAGCAAGATCCAGATCTTAAATCTGTTGAGCTCCACCAAAGAATTTATCTAGGTTTTTTCAGATTCTAATTCGTGGTGGCTTCTCCTGAGTAAACTGCCCTGAGGTAATTTCTGGTTCTAGAGAATCAAAGAGTGGGATAGGAAGAATATTGTAGTGGAAAGAGTACTGGTCTTAGAGTTGGAACACTTGAGTTCAAATTCTGGATCTAATACTTACTAGTTGTGTGACCCTCGGCAAGTCACTTCACCTGTGTGAGCCTTGGTTTCTTCATCTGTAAAGTGAGGATAATGATACTTACATTACCTGCTTAATTGTGAAGAAAGTACTCTGTAATTTAACCTTAAAACACTATATAAATGAGTTGTTATTATAGAAAAGATTGAAGAGAAATTAAGTAAACTTTAAGACAAACATATAACCTGCAAAAGACTCCCTAATGTGAATCTCAGTCATAGCACGCATTGGACAAGCCACGTCTATTAGTGGAACATTAAGAATTAAAGGACACTTTCTGAGTTAGTTTCGTCAATATTTTTGTTGGTCAATTCATATGAAATTTGAGAATTGTACCAAATATTCACTTTTTAAAATTTTAAACTATATCTTGTAGATATAACTGATATTTAGCAAATTTATAATCATGAAAAATCAATACAATATCTAAGAAATTTAATAGGGCATATTAACATTACTATTAAGTTAATATCATTTGTAATTTTTGTAGCACATAGGAAAGCAATCTTTGACAGTTGCGTTTAAAATTTCTTAATTAGTAAAAGGTTAATGCTTAGAACAGCTATGTGATAAAGTAGTTCACTAAAGGCTACTTCAAATTACCGAATTAAAAGGTAAAGAAAATCTAAAGAGCTAGGAGGTAAAACTACCATACATCTAATAAGCCCTCACCTTGGAGTTGATTTATTCAGTTTACATGCACTGAGAAGACTCACAGACCTGTTTAATCTATGTTCAAGAGGCACAGAAACAAAGCAGAAATAAAGTGAACAACACTAAAAGTGAGAGGTGTAAATAAATTACAATAACACATAACACAACGATGAAAACAAAAAACTTTGGCCTGAATTCATAGACTTAAACATGATCACCATATTAATGCAACACAAAGAGATCTTTATCATGCAAACATCTGCATTTAAATGCTCAGCTTCAACCCCTCCCCCCCAATCTTTTGGAAAGAGTACAATAATGGTCTTTTGCAATTGAAGTCTCCTGCAAATCAAAAATAATTTGTTAAATCTCAAAGTTAAGAATAGAAAATCAAGCTTCAAAAGAGGACTTCTTAAATGAAGGTAGTAAGTAAGAAGTATTATAGGAAGCCAATGCAAATAAATGGCAGGGAATATCAGAGGAGCTATTTTCCCTATGGACAATAAGAGGGCAAATTATGTTGTTGTTTTTTTAGTAGAAGCATAGGTATGTGAAAAATTTTGGATTAATGGAATAAATTTCCTTTAATGTTTCAAAGTAATCAAAGTATTTTCGCTATAGAAACATAGAGAAAACATTTCTCCCCACAAAAATTAATTTTCTAAAGGCCTGAAGATATAACTTATTGTACTTGTTACAACATATATATATTACACAATGATAAAATTGGCACTTACACAGCTTTTTAAGTTTTGCAAGAAGTGCTTTACATACATTATCTCATTTGATCTTCATTTTACAAATGAGGCTTATAAGAGTTTAAGTGACTTGTGCAGGGTCACAAGCTAGTCTGATATGGCATCTGAACTCAGATTTCATGACTCCAACTCGAAGGTTCTATCCACTACAACAATAATTTCACAATTAGAGGGTACTTTCAGGTTCACAAGACATCTTCCTCAGAACAGCTTTGTGAGATGAATGGTGAAAGAACTGTCATCACACAGATAAACAGGTCTAGAGTAGTAAAATGACATACCCAAGGTCAAACGATGTTGGAACTGAGACAGGAACCCATGTCACTTGACTTCAAGTCCAGTGCTCTTTTTACCACATCACACATGTGATCAATTTTCAAAGATTTTGCCAATTCAAAATAGTCTACGTTACACACAAAAGTTGACATAGTGGACAGAGCACTGGGCAGCTCAAGGCAGGAAGACAGACCTAAACTTCAAACCTGGCCTCAAACACTTACTAGCTGTATGATCCTGAGCAAGTCATTTTGCCTTTGTTTCCTCAACTGCAAAATGTGGATAATAACAAAACCTACCTTTCAAGGCTTTTATCAAATGAAATACTATCTGTAAAAATCACTTAGCACAGTGCCTAACACATATGGGTGGTGTTGTATAAATACTTATTCCATTCCCCTTCCTTCCCTTAGATATCATACACAAAATTAAATTATGATATCAACAAAAGAGAAACTAATTACCAGAAGACAGAAGATAATCTTTACTTATAAACAATAATGAACATTATATGGAATCACTCTTTCATTCTGATGGTTTTTAATCAAAATCTATATTCCCAAAACTTTTAGAAAAATATTTCAAACTTTCATAACTGGAAACTGAAAACATAAACTAAAGCTAAAACTTGATAAATTGTTAAATTAAGGCAATAGGCTATTTTCCAAGTTTTCAGCAGGAATGAAGAACCTGATTTCATTGTTAATGAAGGCAGTGGTAATTGGCACTAGTGTCAAACAATGAGATCACTTTCCTAAAATACCAAGAATTGATCTTAGACTGGTATCAAGGGCTTTTCTTACCTACCATGTATCTAAGAATATACATATGGCAGTAAGATTTAGAACTGGAGGACCTCAGGAAACACCCCTCATTTTCCAGATAAGGAAACTGAGCCCCAGAGAGATTAAATGACTTGTCCAAGGTCCCAGAAAGTGAGGGTCAGAAGAAGGATCAGAAGACCAGCTCTCTGACTTCACATTTTGGGTCTTCCCACTATACCACGCTCTCTCTTAAGCCAAAAGCAGAAAGCCTGATTCCTCCAGAGAATCATATGAGAAACTCTGATAAGGAGCTCAGAAGGCTGTACCTCTTCAGCCCAAAGAGAAGAACTGAGAACTCTGTATTATTACTCTGACACACATACAGACATAGACACATGCACATTTTAATGTTCCCTGTGCCCGATTCCCCTCTTCCTAGAATCACAGGATTAGAAAGATCCTCAGACACCATCTAGCTCAACACTTTTCTAAATAGGAAACCCCTTTACAAATTCCCTCCAAGTTATCTAGAATATCTGCTTGAACATATCCAAAAATAGAGAGTCCATTATACCTGCAGTAGTCCTTTCCACTTTTGGACAGTTCTAATTTTAAGAAAGTTTGTCTTTACATGGAATTTTAAAATCTGTCTCTCTCTAATTGCCCCCCACTGTTCCTAATTCTGTCCTGAGGTAAAGCAGAATAAATCTAATCCTTCCTTCCCCATGACAGTCCTTCAAATACTTAAAGACAATGTTCATGTTTCATCTAAGATTTCTCTTTTCCAGACTAAACATCCTTTGGTCTTTGTATGGCATGGTTCTCAATAATATCACCATGCTGGTTGCCCTTCTGTGAAACTACTTCAGTACATCTATCCTAAAATATGTCATCCAGAACGGAACCATATAATTTCAGATATAGTCTGACCAAGAGAGGAACTACCGCTCCCTTACACTTAACACTGTGCCTCCATTAAATCATATCAGATTTTTTTAACCACCACATTGTGATCTTGCCCCATGTTGAGCTTGAAGTCCACTAAATACTATTGGTATTTTTTATGCAAGCTGATGTCTTGCATTGTCAAGAGGTACCTGTCATATTCTCTCCTTGCATGGCTGACCATGGAGTGGAAAGAATGCTAGACTTAGAAGATTCTGAGTTCAAATTCTGGCTTTACCATTAAACTACCTTGGGCAGTTTATTTAATTGGACAATTCATTTAATTTCTCCATGCCTTGTACTTCCCATATATAAAATGGGGATTGCAATACATGCATTATATTATAGGATTCTTGGAGGAAAACATTTTGTAAATCTTTAAGCTATGTAATGCTCCTATTTATGAAGCTCCTTAAGGATATAGGGATTGTTTTATTTTTGTCTTTATATCCCCAGCATCAAGCATAATGCCTGGCATATAGCAGGCTTTAAAAATGCTTTTGATTGCTTGATTGCATCAAGCCACAGAACGCTACAAGGCCTCCTCAATGAGGTCCATGAATATTCAAAAATGATTGGTCAGAAAATATATGCAGTAAAAATCAATTGAAGAAGGGCTCTTACTCATATTAACACACAGTCTGATGTGCAGTCCATTTAGTAATTCAACCAGCATAAATAGCTGGAACAGGAGCTACAGACAATAAGTGGAGCGTAGAAGTAAATAGGAAGACAGGAAGATGGATTGAGAAACTGGCACAGAACTTCCATGATTCTAAGCTTTTTCTTGACATCAAAATCCAATTTTAAACACCAGTGTTCTCCAAGAAATGCAGCTTTATAGACAGAAGCCACGCTCGGCACAGAAAGATCTGAGTTCTCCTTCTGATCCTTTTATCTCTACCAAATTTCATCTTATTAGATTCACCCCATTCTTCTAACCTAGAGATGTACTTAGATGCTAACACTGTCATTTAATGCGTTAGCTATCTTTCCAAACTTTGTCATTTACAAATAATCAAATTCAAATTAGGTAAGTATGGTATCTATGGATGTCTCAATTAGAATCATTGATAAAATTTTTTAACAACATAGGAATAAGGACAGGTCAAGACAGATCCCCGGTGGCACCATGTAGAAGACCTTTCAGGATATTAACACATTAATAACTACTCTTTGGGTTGAATTATTCAAGCAGTTTTGAATCCAGCTATTCAATCTACCTTGCCCACATGCAAAAGATAACAGAACTAGTTGATTCAGACCCACTTTTAAAGCCCAAAATAAATCCCTCCTCCTACATGAAGCTTTATTTGATCTCTATCCCGACTTCTGCCTTCTCTGTAATGATCTTTTCCTCTGGGACCTCACATAGAACTTTGCACCGCTCTACATACTCTATAACACTTGTAATGCAATGAGTTATATAATTTAGTTATGTGTATTTGGGGCAGTTAAGTGGTACAGTAAATGGAGTGCTGGCTCTGGAGCCAGGAAGACCAGAGTCAAATTTCAGCCTCAGATACTTACTAGCTGTGTGACCCTGGGCAAGGCACTTAATCCTGTTTGCCTCAGTTTGCTCATCTATAAAATGACCTGGAGAAAGAAATGGCAAACTATTCCAGTATCTTTGCCAAGAAAACCCCAAATGTGTCACAAAGTCAGACATGACTGAACAATAATAATTTATATATCATTCTATGAGGCTAGGTAGGGACTGTGTCTTTTATGCACTGAATAAATGTTTCTTGAATAAATAAATTCTGACTCTTGAAAGTATTCACAAGCCAAATTTAACACCTATTTTTCAAAGTAATTTTAAAAACACAACAAAAACTTTCAGAAGTGAAGTAATTTGGAAAAAACAACAACAAAAAACAATTGGAATGTTTTGGTTTTTCTATAATTACATGATCTAAGTAATTTACCATTAAGTAAAATAATTCTCATAAGCTGAACCTTTCATTGGTTGTCTCAAAAGGAAATTTAATATACTATGTTCATATTCTTTACAGATCAATTTTTTTAAAGAATGTTGTCTTTTGTACCAGTTTCTTTTTTATCCTCTACAGTTTTGCATTATGGTAATGTTCTATTTCTAAGCTGTGAGAATGATCATTTTTCTCTTTTTTTTTTTTTAAAGCCACTGGATTGTTATCCTAAAGACTGCATCAACATCCTCACTGAGCAAGGTATGACCCACAATATATTTCCCTGGATTTTTTCCTTTTGACTAATGGAAACATTTTCCCAAGGATACCATATCAAATCTAAGTCTCAATTGGCAATACAAACCACAACCACTGTGCACTGGACTATTTCCAAATGGAGT